CCCCCCCACCACCCACCCCGCTCCCCTTCCCTCAAAAAAAGCTGTTTACTCTCTCCAAGATGCAGGGATTGGACACCTGCAATCCAGCGCAACACCGCTGCAACACAAAACCTGAAAACAGTTGCGCTTGTTGTTCCTTGGTTTGACACGCTGCCAGAAAAGGTGTTTTATCGAGGACGGCGTGTTCTAATCGCACGCCAAGGTTCTTTCTGACCCCGTTAAGACGTCCTCGAAGAGGAATTAAGAGATGGGCGCTGGGCGCTGGTCTCCCCCCCCCCCCTCCCGTCGGGAGCCCCCCCACATGCACTCGGGCCGCGCTCTTCCCCGGCTGGCCTCACATCCAGACGGAGGAATTTAATGGGGAGGTTCCTACAGACTTAAGGCAGGGGGACTTTAACAGCTTGGACAAATGTGCCTTGCCTCTGCTGCTGTTAGTTCAGTGATTCCGTGTCAAGGCGTCCAGGTGTTTCTCCACATGTGCACTGACATGTTGTGCAAAGAGATTAAACTCACACCTGTGCATTGTGTCATTTCCATTCTTATTAGCGCTGCCAAGGAGATTATGTTTTCATCGCCGTTTGTTTATTTGTTACCGTAATGGCGCTTGAAAAAACAGATACTTTTCACAAATTTTGGCAAAGGGGTGGGGCACGGGCCAAGAGAGACTCCACTGTTTCTTGGTGCGGCTTTGCAAAAAGGGATCAAGAAGCGCTTCATATCTCAGTGATAATGACAACAAACAAGATGCATTTTCCCTCCTCATCTTATTTTTAGACTAGAAGATTCTTTGAACTTTATCCAGACAAAGCTGTTCAACGAAAGTTGCCTGTGGAACAGAACCCTACAAATATCCCCAAACTCTAGATATGACCACAAAACGTCTTTTAATCACAAAAGCAGAAACATAGTTTGAGGAGTTTAAAAAAAATAGTTTACATGATTTTCAAAAGTGATACATTACGCCACATGACAGCTTCAATATTAGTACAGTACTTGAAAAATACATTTCATGAGCACTCAACTTCATGAACCCAAGTTGCTGAAGCCTCAGACAATAGATGTTTTTTTGTTTTTTTTTTTAATATTGCCTAGAATGCCCTCAAATATGGAAAAAGAACCACTTAAGTTTAGGAACCACAAGTAATCCACAACCCACACCACGCGTGAGAACCATCATGATAAAGTAACATACCTGATTGTTAGTATAACAATTATAACATTTATCATCGGCTACCTATCCCCAAACGTTTTCAATATGGTGCTTGTGAAGATGAGCCAGCCCAGGTGGAGGTTCCATTAGAAATCCACGGACAGCAATGCCAAAATACCATTCATTAGTTATCGGAACAGTTAAACCATTTTTTACTATTTATCAATGAAAGTGTTCACTTTAGCGCTTCTTAGGATGATCCAGACTTGGTGAAGGTCCCATTAAAAATCCATAGACCACATTCAGATGAAAAATACCTTTAAGTATCATACTCAGTTGTTAATTGGATCCATGAAAGTGTTCAAGGTGGTGTTTATTAGGATGATCCAGCCTTGGCGGAGGTCCCATTAAAAGGTGTATCGCGGGTGCACCCTCAAGGTGACAAATGACACTGATGCTGCATTATTGTTGTGCAAAGCATAACAACAACCCCCCGTTGTTAATTGTATGAGTGGCATGTATCAGTTAATACAAACACAGCCTTGTGTGACACACATTCTCGCTGTACTAACATCAAGCCACGGCCATCAGCCGCCGGTCGATCGGAACCGGCCGACCGGCTGGCTTGGTTTGATGCACCCGGGCGAGGCGCTCAGCGGCGCCGCGTCGTGGGAGGCAGGCAGCCGGCCACATGCAAAGCGGGCGTCCACGGATGTCCAAACGTGACAGGCACCGCACGCCAACAACAAACCGACACGATATAAAGCACCACCAGCGCCGAAGCGCCACCAGTCAGCCCTGCCTGCCCAGCTTATGACACGACTTCGCCCGCTTAAAGGTTCCGACGAGGTCAGTCTATTGTTAGCAGGTACTACCCGGCCAGCGAGAGCGTGCAAGCCGCGCTACGAGCTCCGGAACAAGGCGCCAAACTTACTTGGAGCTCCAAGCGAGTCCTCCTCTGCGACGCTGAAATAAAAACCCCTCCGCGTGCGTACGTTTCTCTCTCTCTCTCTCTCTCTCCTCTCACTCCCTCTCTCTGGAGCTGCTCCTCCGAGCCCACGGTGCAACTGAGTGACTGAATCAACTACCGTAGAGCACGGCAAGTTGAAGTGTCAGATTACACGGGGCTATTCAGTTACCACAGCGAAGAAGAGGACCGGGCTCCGCGGTGAGGAGGAAAATGTGAGCCGGACTTTCTCCTTCCGTACCCCCCCACACCAGCACGAGGAGGAGTCTGTCTGCCTGCCCGTCTGCCATGTCGAACCGGTGGACGGCAGCCTCTACCGGGGCTTCCTGGAGAGACACACACACACACAACACGACAGTGTCATGTTTTGGCATGGACCCCACCCAAGAAGAAATAATGATTTTTTTAATGGAACTCGTGTAATTTTCTTTTTTTTTTTTCTTTTTCTTTTTTTTTTTTTGGAGTGTGGGATGCGGTATTTTGTTTATGTTCACAACACGACCAACAATAAATGTTATGATGTCACAATGTGTTTTTATTGGGCAGCGCAGTGGTTGTGGTGAAAATTGCCACTCAGTTTTGAAATTCTCGGTTTGAATCTCAGCTCAGGCATTCATTGTTCTCCCACTCCAAAACATACTATAGGTTCATGAAAGACTAAATTGTCAATACGTGTCAATTTAATGAATTGTTTATTTCTATATTATTTGCATATTGGTGGACATGGAGTCAGATATGGATTGCTATTTTTGATTACTTAGTTCAGTTTTAAAAAGTTATTATTTATTGTTTCTTCTCCATATTCTGATTTCTTGAGATGGTGACGTTGGGGTTTTCACTGGCTGTGACTACAATCATTGAAATTATTTTTACAAAAATGAAATGAATTTCATGATACTCAAGACATACCTGTCTGTCAAAGAAACAGGTTTTTATTAGCTACACCTGAACATTCAACACCAGCAAACATCAAAAACCAAGCTTAAAAAAATAATAATACAGCAAATGCACAAGTTTCACTGACGCTGTTACATGTATAATGGTGTAGAATTGTGCTTCATCATTGTGACAGCTGTTTCTAATGTTGCGGATGCCTTGTTAAGCTTCCATGAGGCGCAAAATGCACAAAGTAGAACTGCAACTAACAGCATAAAGAGCATTATTATTTTTGCAAAGCCATAATGATTGATGGTGTGTATGAGCAAAGAATGGTGCTTAAAGGCATACTGTTATTGTTTGCTGTGCCACTAATGAGAGTAATTATGCATTAGAAATAATTATAATTACTTCGCTGTCATATGTCATCACAGTTATTGTTATTATCCAAGTATTCATTTTCTATACTGCTCGTACTTGTGGCTGTGAGTTGAAACCTATCCCAGCTGACTTTGGGCACATGCTTAGGTACACTGTGGACGTCGCTGGTCAATCACAGGGCACATATTCAAACCGATGGATAATTTTGAGTCTTCCTATCAACTAACAGGCATGTTTTTGGAACGTGGGAGGAGACCGGATTCTTGTAACCACTTCAATACACTGTACAGAATAGAGTGATCGATGAAATTCATTTGGGCATATATTTGCAGAATGTGTTTCTATGATTATACTTTATGTCAGTACATTCTATAGGAGTGAGTATTGTAACCTATGTGAGTGTATATAGACAGATGTATTTTGTGTGAGCATATTTGCATGATATTGCACTTTGTTAGTATACACGGAAGGCAGCAATTTATGTTGGTGTATTTGCTGAAACTATCTCAAGCGTGAACAATGTACTTATGTTTATGTGTGCATAAATGCATGCTGTTTGTCATCCTTGTACGATTTTCACTAAACTTTTCATAATTATCGTTCCTACCTGCCACAGGGATTACAGATACACTTAGCTACAAAGCAGTGATCTGGTACATAGTATTTCTACTTTTACTTTTTCTGTCCACGGTCCCTGACAAATAAACACAAAAACAAGAGATAAGCAAGGGGAAAATATCGGCAAACATTCCACTCAGGGAAGCCTGGGCCAAGATTCAGACCCAAAACCTTAAAACTGAGAGGCAGATGTGTACTTGTCCACCATGCAAAATGTCAACAATATAATGCGACTACGTGATTCAATTTCTGTAGAAATCGGATCTGAGTTCAAAAGCTGAACCAAAATGATTTGAAATTCTTTGACTTGTTGAAATGTAACAGGTGAGCCGAAGTTGGAACGCTTGGAATTGGTCAGGAAATGTGGAAGGAGGAAATAAAATCTGTAAAAGAAAGTTTTAATTTGGGGATTATAGTTTGAAATTTGGGGGATTTTGGTAGTGTGAAAAATATTCCCGAGAACTATTGGATGACCTAAACATTTTTCAAGTTGGAGTGGTTTGAATCAATGGTGAAGAATAGTGATGTAAATATGTGAAACACACTGATTTGGGAATGCTGTCATGAAAAGGTGGAAAATAAACACTTTTGGGGTTTTTGGGGGAATGTTTAAAACAGTTCCTGTGATATCAGGACACGTTGTGATATGTGGAAGGGTGACTTTTATTTGGATTTTTTTGTTCATAGAAAATGTGGAATTGTTGAAAAAGTAAGTAGAAGTAGTTTGCAAGATGTCTTGAATCTGATATTTTGAAGTTGGAACTCCTAATAGGTCGGCAAACGTGAGTAAAATAGCAAAATTTCACAAAATAATCAGAATTATTATTAAGTTTGGTGCATAATAACACGTGTGAATGCTCTTCAGCTATCACAATTAGGTTGACTATTTTTCACCGGTATGCAGTGAAAGCGGTTGACTTTTGTTGACCCTCCGCGTGTGCGAGTCTTGTCGATGTTTGCACGGCGCCGGCAGATGAAAAGATCCGGTTCCGTGTTTTGCGGGCGTCCGGTCTCTCGGTGGAAGCCTCGGAATAACAAAGACGCGTTTGAGAGCAGCGGCAGGCTGAGCTGAGCGGTGACGTCAAGGAACAATGTTCTCTCCTCGCTATGCGCGCGGCGCACGCACGGCGCACGCACGCTACCCACGCACACCAGCTCGTCGCTCTCTCTCTCTCTCTCTCTCTCTCTCTCTCTCTCTCTCTCTCTCTCTCTCTCTCTCTCTCGCTCTCTCTCTCTTCCGCGTCTGGCAAGGCTGGAGGTGGCCAGAGGGAGGGCTGCCGTGCATCAGATATTGAAAATGTCTCACTCTGCATGCTGGGCTTGCACACACCATTGCTTCATTGTGTCTGCGAACAGGAATACATAAAAAGGTGGCACATTATAGTGACCAAAAAAAAAAAACTAAGGGTAGTTTAGCACAACAATGATCTGGTAAATGTAGATTATTGTTTGCAATTTTGTCTAAGTTTCAGGTAAGAGATGTCGAACCATCGCTGATCACGTGTTTCAAAGTGATTGAAAAGACTGCAGTAATGCAGTCAAGGAATAGCACATCTGCCGCACAGTCAAGAGGTTCTGGGTTTGAATCTCAGCTGTATCGAGGGTTTCGGCCTTTTCTGCCTCTCCCCCAATGCTTTGTCAGCGGACATATTGAAAGGCTAGCCCCACCCACCCCAAAAAAAAGCATCATTTGCCATTTGACATGCCATCGGTTAGCATGAATCTGGAGAGAGCATCACAAACGCAGACGTACTGTTGTTTCTCGTGTCTTCATGAGTAGTGACCATACAACAAGATAGGTAGACAAAACCCTGGACTGCTCCCTGCGTGTTGTGTCAAGGTTTCTGATTTACATCAAAGCTAATTTTGATTAGCATGTCTGTCTTTGACCGTATGCTAGCATTTAGCTAGCAGACGTTCGTTGTACAATCAGTGATGATCATAATGGGGAAATGTGCATTGCTTTCATGAATTCTTTTATGAAGAACCCTCTTTACAATAATTGTAATTAAAGCTTTTGTTGGGTGCAAAAGTGACACCGCCAACAGTATACTTTTTAGGGATCGCAATGTATAAATTCTCCACCTCGAACCAAGTATGTTTCGAACCAAATGATTGAACAACATCAGATCCTCTTCGCATGAGATCACAGGTCAAATTGTCATCAACAACGCCTGGGCCGTTTACGCTAATCTCTGAGGGGAAGGAAGTAGCTGCTATCCTCGTCGCTTCCTGCCTGCAGGCCTCCTGACACTGATGCAGTGGGGGCATGTGCAGGGTATTGCCTTCGAGAAGTGGGAGGTGTGCGAGGAGTGGAAGGGGGAAAGCCTCTCTATCACAACGTCTCAAGGACGACCCGGCCCCCTGGTCGGAGCAACTGTGATGGGGACAAATGTGACCGGTGACATCACCGCCATCCAGCAGTGAGTCATTTTTATTTCAGAGAAGGAGGCCCCAAACTGGGATGGAAAATGGGTGAGCGGTCAATGTCACGATGCTCTGACAGTGACCTCACGATCCGATTGAAAAAAAAAAAAAAACAATCTGGAAAGTCATTGTCAAAGAAGACCAATGTCTTTGTTTTGTCATAATATCGGCAAGGTGATACATGCGCAAGACATCGCCAAGCAGACAGTCCCATCCGATAACTAGAAAGCAATTCATTCAAGCCACTACACCCCCAGGTTGTTGGCTTTTGTCATTTAAGTTTAATTTCGATCATAATATCATCTGTTCTAGCTCATCCATCAAGTTTTTGTCTAACACCATCACGAGTTGTCAAGGCCTGTTAGGGGTGTCAGCCAGTCCACTCCTTCGCCGCTGACATTTTGCGGTTCAAAGAATGGCTTGTTGTCACATGTCCTCGCTTTCACGGCAAAGCGTGCTCCGCCGGCCTCTCCAAAATAATGTGTCCAGATGGCTGCCAACAAGATGGATGGATTATAGGTGGGGTGACTCCGGCTCGACTTGGCGCTGTGTACAATTTCTTACGAGATGTATTTCAAAGAGCAGAGTGAATGAATCCAGGGGGAACAAAGGGAGCCCTCTGTCTGGCATGCGCCATGACAAGGTTAATTCATATTGCATTGTGTTGGGGAACAGATCCAATTACCATAAGAAAACAGCTTAAAGTTCAGAACACCAGGGCGTTTATTTCTCTTGGTCACCTAAAGGCTTGTGTTTATCAAGAGGAATGCACACAAAGACAAACAACCATCCGCGGTCACACTCACACTTATAGGGACAATTTAGAGAGCTCCATTAACCTGCCACGCAAGTTTTTGGAATGTGGGAGGAAATCGGAGTACCCGGAGAAATCCCACACAGGCACGAGGAGAACACGCAAACGCCACACAGGAAAGCCGGAGCAAAATGTCAAACAGCACCAGTTCATAAAAAAATATATATTTATGGTCGAGAAGTGTTTTGCATACAAATGCTTAATATATTGTTCCCACTTACCTAAAAATTTGGGTTACGTTGCCCCTGGAGGAACAGAACGTTGTGTCAAACCGAGTGAGCTCCTTGTTCTTCCAAAAGATGTCATTTAATTTTATTTGAAATCCCGATCCTACATTTCACTGATTGAAATCTTTTCATTTGACAGTAACAGCACAAATGAGGGAAGGCGCAGCCTCGCTTCTCTTTCCAAAAGTACGGTAGGATATTGACCAAGAGTGCCTGGTGGAAACGAGGCTTTATCGTAGAGCGGGGGGAGGCTGCTGGAGCTTCACGAGGGAGTCAAACTCTCAGTATGTGCTGACATCAGCTCCAGTGTTCACACAGAGGTGTGATGCTTGTTCGGGGGTGCCACCCTGCAGTTACTAGTAAGTTGCTGAAA